GCCGGCGCCGGCCGCGTGGCGGACCAGCAGTCCAGGCGGGATAGACACTCCTCTGGGCGGTGAGCTCCCGTGATATCGTAGTGGAAGAGCGAGCTGTGGCTGCTGGGGGCGCCAGCGGCGTGGAAGCTGGAACGCCCCCGCCAACTGTGACGAATGCGCCTGGGGCCAGCAAGCGCGGTGGGCTAGCTGCCGGCGCTGCGGTGGCTGGGGCAGCCCCTCCCGCTGGAGGCTCGAGGGGCCCGGTGCTCGGTGACGCGAGGGGGGCCGGCCTTAGCTGCAGCAGCCCGTCCAGGTTCTGCTTCGCGGGGTCCGACTCCATCGCGGCTCGTAGTCGGGTGTCGCTCCACCGCTGGAAGTGCCCATGTAGGATGGACACGTCGGTGTCCGCGTCGGCGTTCTGCAGCATCCCAGTGGTTGAGCTCGATGCCGAAACCACCTCCGACGCTATGTAGAGCCTCTTATTCGTCTGCTCCTCGTTCCCTCTCCGCGACGTAGATGGCTAGCGCCGCATCCCCCGCGCTCTCCTCGGCTTGACTGCCTTGGGAGGTGGGGCGGTCGGTCGATGGCGACATCGAACTACGACTGTCTGCTGGTGAGCCTCGCGACCGCGCCCTCCCCGCCAGCGGCTTCGGGGAGCCGCTCCGGTCGAGGCGGCGCCAGTGGGCCTTCAGCTTGCTGTTCGTAGCTGCCATCTCCGGGTCGAGCTCCGGCTTTGACAAGCCTCCTCCGTCTGGCTGCCAAGTAACCAATGTGTCCAGTCCCTCTTCCAACCGACGCCTTTGACTGAGGGGCAAAGGGGCCGTTCTGCCGCCCACTTGGAGTCCATGCCAAGCTTGCAGCCTGAGCCATGTCCTCTCGGGGATGGGCATGGCCGCCACGTTGATCCCGAGCTCGGCCAACCCCAGTGGGGGGTGCATGAGGAGCTCTTAGGGAGGCGCCCCGATGGTCCCAGCGCGGTGCGTCTGTCACGCTGGCCTCCCCGAGTCGAAAGTTCAGCGCCAGCTCGCCTGGCCCCTCTACGACGATGTGCCTCGCGGCCTCCGTGCTGCGTTCCGCTCGTCGGCCCCAGAAGATCATCCACTTGGGTCCCTCTGGTCAACGCGCGTGGACCCGAAGCAGGTAGTGCTCGGGCCCGAAGGGAGCTCTCTCTTCCGCGCCGAAGTGTGCGCGATGGGGCCCAGCTGGAGTAGTCTCGGGAGGGCTGCACGAGGCCCCCGTAGAAGGGCACGGCCCCGGAGTGGGCTCGGGCGTTTGGCTCCCCTGCCGCGCGGGGTGCGCGGCCGGGGCGCCTTCCGCGGGGGTGGCTGGCACAGGGGCCGCTGGTGGCCCCGCGGGCCGGCCGCGCGAGCCAGGGCTTCGCTTGGCACGACGCCGCAAGCCCGCGAACAGCCCCGTCGGCGGGGCTTCGCAGCAGGCGCGGCTGGCGTCGCCGCCCAGGTGCGCAAGGCAGAGAGGGACGCCTGCGGCCGTGCTCGCGGGCTGCCGGTAGCAGGTCGCGTGAGAGCACAATTGTCCTGGTATAGCGTGCCGCTATGTACACCTGCCGGTGGTGACTGCACAGCGGGGCCGTGGTGCCGGTGCTTTCGCTTGCCGCTGGGAGGTCCGAGGCCCGGCCGCCCTCTTGGAGCAAGGTGGTCGGCATGTTGTCCGCGCCGTCTCGGCGCCCTTCCGGCACCAGCGGGCGCGTGACACCGCCCTTGATGATGCCCACACGGGCCGCCTGGCACTTCTGCTCCTCCGCCTCGACCTGCGGCTCCGACTCCTGGTCCAGGAGGCTGGCCACTGTCCCTTGCTCGCCAGGCCCCGCATCGCCAGTCGCAGAGCGACGGCGGCGGCGCCGGCGGTAGATACAGCACCCGCAGCATGTCAGGGCTCAGGGCTGCCAGGCAGACTCGGCACACCCAGTAGAAGCTCCGCCAGCAGAGGACGCACACGCGGCAGGCTGACATCTTCGAGTGGTACCCGATGGCGATGATCGCCCCGGAGTCCACGGCTGCGCTTTCCTTGAAGTGCAGTTCCCCGACCTTCTCCTGGCACACTTTGGTTCGGCATAGGTGGACTCACTTGGGCCGGTCGGAGAGCGCCTTCCTCAGGGCTCGACTGCTAGATCCAAGCGCCACAGAGTATGCCACCCACAGCCCCTGTCGGTTGATGCGCTCCGGGTCGTGGAGGTCTAGCCTCGGCCTGGCAACCCGTTCGTCCTGGCGGATCAGCAAGTCGTTTGGGCCCCCCTGCCCTCCTTGATGTACTTGCGGTACGTACTCGGTGGAGGTGTCCTGACCGGCCCCTGGGCCCCGCCAGCGGACTGTGATGAGGGGAGGGGCAGCCGGCGGCAGGAGCTTATCCAGCTCCGCCTCGCCTGGCTTCCTCCGCTTGGGGCAGCGCAACGCGAGGCTGGTGAAGCATAGACCCAACCCCCAGGCTGCCCAGCTGCAGGGCGCCAACAGCGTCTGCAGGCGGTGGGTGATCCGCGCGAGGATCCCGGTGATCACCACGGCGACGCCGACCCAGGCGATGACGGCCAGGCGGCCCCGAAGAGGGACGCGCCGGCCTGGTCCATGCCGTAGCGGATCCACCCGCCATCTGTCCTGAGCCACCCCGTCTCCCCGCGGGTGGGAAAGACCTGGCGTAAACTATTCAGGGACTTGAAAGCACCCCCACCCGTCCCCTCGAAGCTCCAAGAGGTGGTGCCCCCGCAGGTTTTCCAGGTCAGAGTCCCAAAGCCCCAGCCCTCGACCCAAGAAGTTCCCGAGCCGCCAGGGCCACTGTGGGCTCCCGCCCCCCCCCCCCCCGGCCGGCGGCTCGCCCGGCGGCGCGACGCGCGCGCCTTGGGGAGCCCTGCCTCGGCTATCTTTTGGGGGGTTGCGCCGCTCACGGCCGAACCATTCACCTTCCTCCTCCACCCGGTCCTGGTCGTCGTAGTCGCTGCAGTCGTGCGTCTGGTACAGGGCGGACGAACTCCGCTTCCCCGGAGCCGCCCTCCCCCTCGGGGTCGGCGCGGTGGGCCCCGCGGCGTGCCGGCCAGCGGGACGAAGACCCGCTCCATGCCAGCCCTCGTGGTGCCGCCGCGGCGAGCATCGCCGCGCCCAGCGCGCGGGCGCTGCCTGCGCCGGCCGCCTTCACAAAAGCAGCCCCAGCGCGCCTGCAGCGGCCGGCGCTCAGCGGCGAGCGTGAGCCAGCGCCGCCAGGCGCCTGGCCTCCGCCGCTCCGGCCGCGCGGCGTCACGGCCGCGCGCGCGAGTCTTCTGGGCCCCGGAGGTGTTGCCCGGGGCCCCGGCCTACAGCCGGGGCTCTGAATAAGGAGCCCTTTTCATTGGGGAGGGGCTCCGTGTTCCTTCATTGTTTCACATCTTGCCCAAGGTTATCCTTGGATTTTCGATGGGAAGTCGAAGTTGAACTTCTGGAGAAAAGGGGCCTCGTTCCTTATTTTGGGTTCCTTAGGTCAACGCCCCGACGGTAGGGCCACCTGAGCCGACCCCCAGCTTGGGCTGGAATGGATTGAGCCCCCGATCGGGGAGAGGAGCAGGGGGGGAAAGACGGGCAGGCACCAGCAGGAGCAAGGAGACTGAAGCCCTGGCCGATCTGGGGGCGTGGTGGGCCAGACGCTGAATCAGACATCCTACTTCACCCTCTCAACCTCGGATATTTCTGCTGCGTGTTTGTCAGCCTCACGTGGCCAACGCGTGCACCGAAACATCATACAGTATGAGCTCCGTGGCCGTGGCGAGCGCCCCCCGGCCGCGTGATCCCGTCTTCTGCGGCTTATCTTCCTCATGCCTCCATGCTCGGGCACGCGCGGGAGCTTTCAGCTGCAGAGTGCCCTCGGGCAGATCCGAACATTCTGGAGCACCGCCACTTGCAGAGTCTGCAACCCAGTTCAACCATGCATCAAGAATCAACAAAACCCACCCCTGTTCGGAGGGGGCCTCCCAGCAAGCCCACCGGCGGCCTCAGGGTGGTTCGTGGCCCCGGCCCCCGCCGATCCCTGGTCTGTTGGGCGTCGCGTAAGGGGGGGGGGGGAGGAGGGCGATAAATGGGGGTCAACGAGGGCTGCAGAAAATTTGCCCTTGAGGGCCTAAAAGGGACCCTTTTGTCAAGGGAGGAAAGCGACCAAGATCCGACAGTTGACGTTTACTAAACGGCCCTGGGCGTTTACTAAACAGTCCTGCTGTTCGATTCTTTCTTTGGGTGCGTTTACAAAACGGCTTAACTTGTCGGGGTGATTATTATGGGGGTGGATTTTTTGCCCTCCATTTAGGGCCCGAGAAATGCACTTTTCTCTCCCTCCCTCCGTCAGCGACGCCCCGTCAGCGACGCCCACCTCAGCCTAGTGCGTCGGTAGAGCAAAGCGCTGCCAGCACCGAGGCCACATCTTGGCCCCAGGTCTCCTCGGGCATTCCCCAGGGGGTAGACTTAGGTCGGCCATGTACTACTACAGGTTGGCTTGTAAGAAAGTGCAAAAACATAGTCAAAACATCGTCAATCATAGTCAAGAACATCGGCCTCTGATTTTGTTAACTGTTCTTGAATACTCCTCGTGTAGAGGGACATGCCCGACTTGAGGGTAGACGAGGGGGGTGGGGCGCACCCGAGGCCCGCGCCAGGGTCATCTCGGGCCTCCCCGCGACCCCTGTGCTGCTGACGTCCGTCCGCCAGAAGCGCGCAGAGTGCGATGGGCTGCTCACTTGAGGGTTCTGGCGGGGCTTCCGCCGCTATTGGGGGGAGCGGGTCCTGAGGGAAACGGGTCCTGAGGTTTGTCGCCGCTTTCGTGCCCTTGGGGCCGTCCGCGGACCCCGGGGCCGCCAGAAGTCAGCTCGGGATGAAGAAGCGGTCCCGGGGGAAGGCCCAGGGGTCCAGGACCCGTTCCCGCGACGCAGGCGCGGAGTGATGGGCCGCTCTGCGTTCGAAGGGCCTCGGGATTTCCCGAGTGGAACCGGAGGAGCGGCAGTGGCGCATGGATGGCCTCGCAACTTCCTTTCGGTGTTGGCCGTGCCACGCCAGGCCTCGCGGCGTCGGAGCTGCCGTGCGACAGCGTGCTCAGAGGCGCGGCCCCGCTCTTGTGGTCAGAGAGGGGTTGGGCCAGGCGCGTGGTGATTACGGCGCAGATGTTGAGCAGGTGATTCCTTTGGGAGGCGCTCGACATTGACCCCCACTGTGTATTTCAATGGCGGCCGCAGCAGGGCAATGCTCGACGATGAGAGGGCTGGGCCCTTTCCAGGGGGCGCGGCTCATGTTGGCAGGGCCCAGCGAGGAGGCGTTGTTGGGGTGTGCTTGCTGCGTGCGCTCGTGCATGGTACTATGAACCACCAGGCCCGAGGATCCGAGGGCGGTCCACGTTTCAAAATTTTCCAGCAGCCAAGACACCAGCTGTGCCCCGTGAGGGTCCACGGCCTCTTCTGTGGCGTTCCGGAACGGGCCTCGTCTTCGGCGCATGTCGCCTTCTGCGGAAGCCGGCGAATGTAATATGGCAGCGGGCCCGCCTGTGGAAGGCGGCGGAAGGCCTGGGGGTGACGGCGGATGTGCACTGGCAGTGCAAGAGTCAGCAGAAGGCGGCGGAAGTGAAAGTGCGACGTCAACGTTTGGGTGTCCAGGGCTTCTGGAGCCAAGGTTGTAGGGGTGGCAAGGCACAGTGCTTGGGGCTCTGGAGGGCTCTTTCAGTCTGGGGAGGCGTCCAGGATGGCGCAAGAGAGCGCCAGGATGTCAAGACAGCCCAAACGAGCCAAAGACCCAACCAGACCGAAGAAGCCATAATGGAGCCACGAGGGCACTCGCCGACCAGCAAAAGTCAGCACAACCAAAGCAATTCCAACTGATTTGTATGTTTTGAAGCTCTAGTCCTAGGACTGCCCCAACTGGACCCCCAGAAGGACCATGATACCCCAATAGGGCCCGAAAAGGCTTCAAGTCCGCGTTACACGGCCCCACACAATTGGCCGACGCGTCCAAACAACAGCCCAGGAGGGCCCAGGAAGGCCAAGGCGACCCAAGACGGCCCCAATAAGCCTCACACTGCCCCTGCGAGGAGGCTAAGAGGTTCCCACAGGGCGGCTGGGGCCCAGATAACCCAATATGGGCCAAAGGCCCCCCAAGACGACAGGACCCTCAGAAGGCCCACGAGAGCCTCCAGAGCAACCCAAGAGGGCCCACAAGGGGGGTTGTAAAGTGGACATCACAAGAGTGACGAATTTTTCTCTGGACGACATGTGGGGTTCCGTAGGCCATACATATGTGTTTGTGTATATATATATATATATATATAATTGCATATATATATATATAGATATATACAAATGTATATGCTCAGCCCCCCCCCCAGCGCCCCCCCCCAGGGCTCCTCCTCATCATCCCCATCGCATTTCTCATCATTATCATCATCATCTGCATGTTCATGAGGACCAGGATGAGGAGGATGATGATGATGAGGAGGAGGAGGGGGATGAGGAGGAGGATGATGAGGAGGAGGCGGATGAGGAGGAGTACAATGAGGATAAGGGTGAGATGAGGGAGAGGATGATGCGGAGGTGCAGGATGATAATGATGATGATGATGATATTGATGATGATGACGATGATGATGATGATGATGATGATGAGGATGATGATGTTGATGTTGATGATGATGAGACTGATGATGATGATGACGATTATGATGACGTTGACGATGACGATGACTATGATGACGATGATGATGTGCTGTTGTTGTTTTTGTTGATGTTGCTTCTGCTGTCGTTGCTTTCGTTGTTGCTGCTGTCGCTATTATTGATGGTGAGGTTGCTGTTATGGTTGTCGTTGTGTTTGTAGTTGTTGCTGCTCCTGCTGCTGATGTTGCTGTTGTTGCTGCTGATGGTGTTAGTGTTGCTGGTTAATGTTTGTTGTTTGTTGTTGATGTTGTTGCTGCTGTTGTTGTTGGTGTTGGTGTTGCTTGCGTTGTTGTAGGTGTTGTTGTTTGTTGTTTGTGGTTTGGTGTTTCGTGTCTGTTGTGTGTTGGTTGTTGCTGGATGTCCGTGAATGGTTGTGTTTGTGCTGCCATTGTTGCTGGTGTTGTTAGAGTTGGTGTGATTATTGGTGTTGTTAATGTTGTTGATGCTGGTGTTGTTGCCGGTGTCGTTGGTGCTGCTACATTCGTAGTTTGTGCTGTTGATTGTCGTTGTTGCTGTTGTTGTCATTTTCGGTGTCGTTGTGAAAAGCATGGAATCTCCGAATTGGGTAGTTGGCACCTGGTTTGCAACAACAGCTGCTCCCTCCTGATACTTCCTTACATTGTATTCCCAAATCGCGCTCTCGCGCGGGACGTCCTCACAAGTCATGCAGAAGTCGCGCTCCCGCGTGAGATTTCTTTGCAATTCATCCAGACGCCGCGCCCCCCACCCTTAGGAATCACGCTGTCGTTGGGGCCTTTTCTCAGGATTTACTTGAGAACCGCGCTATCGCGGGAGACTTCATCGCTATTCATGCGCACGATTCGGCAGCCCGCCTGCTCGACCTGGCCGCCTGAGCCCGCCTTCCCGATCCGCCCGTCAGGGTCTGCCCGCCCGATCTGCCCG